CTCATCAGTCAGAATAAACCTGAGCTTCCCTTCTTGTCTCACCCCACCAGGGGAGCGGGAGCATTCATCCCAGGCCTGAAGATGGAGAAACATACAAGGAATTCTCTCTATTTAGCAGCCCAACCTTTGGTGTTGCTAAGCAACTGAGCACCAGCAGCGGGCATAGGAGAGAAGAGTTATTTCATTTTAGTTTTCCTCTTAAGGCCAGTTGCTCTGTTGGGAGCCTGGCAGCGAGTGATCCAATTACAGGAGAAAGTGATCAACCAAACCCTTTCCACGTTCCTTCCCACAAAGGACGAGCAGAGAGCTACCCAGCTGGGATGACACCACCACCACAGGAGAGTAAAACATGAGAGGATGCGAAGGTTGGCGGGGGGGATGTGCCAGGCAACAGCTCCCTGGAGACGAGACTGTGCCCAGCTGTGAGACTGCTAGAGGGAAGCACTGTTCAAAATCATTAGACCCAACATTCAGGGGGTGGAGAGGGTGTTTAAAAACCAACATAATTAATAGAAACACCGTGAAATCTAACAATAAATCCAACCCCCTGCTCAAATCCCCTGCAACCCAGTGACTAGGAACTGCTCCCAACCGTTGGGTATTCAGTGGCCTAACGTGAACATTTAGCGGGTCTCACACCATCTCCTAGCAGGCAGGACTCCATGAGATTGCCACAAATTGTATTAATCACAACTTTGTGGGCAACCTGTGAAAAAGCATGAAGGAGTAAGACACCACACAGAAGCAACAGAGGGAACTAAACAGAGCGGGGTGGGAGGGGTTAGGGCGAAACAGACACTGCCATGGGCTGTCAAATGCACAAAGCCCACCTGATTTCTCTAATCCCTTTCAGTCACAGGGACTTTCCTTGGGCTGTCACCTGTAACAGCGGAAGGTAGAACATTATCAGACAGAAGTCTGATTTAAGGGATGGGTCCCTTCAAACATTTCCTGGCAGGTTCAGTCCCTGTAGCTGCGTGCTAGAATATGAGAAACAAACAGGCTACCAAGAAAAAGAAACTGACCAATTTAGTTCTACTGTCAGATCTGAGCAAAGAGCAAACAGCGAACAAGCCGCACAAACGGTGGCAAGGCTGATAGGGCACGTTCCGTTAGCTCTGTGTTAGACCCACAGGTCAGGAGAACGCTGCCATCCGCATGGGCTTCCTTTAACGTTGTAACAGGAGGCTCCGTGGAAAGCCACTGCATGGCTCACAAGCGCCATCTGACTGAAGGTGCGTTCCACTGGATAGGATTATTGCATTTTGTGCCATGAAGGTTTTCAAACCAACATTTTCCAAGAGAGCCGCACGGTCTGAGAGGGGAACACAGAGAAGGGACTCTTGGATTTGAATGCACAGTGACGCTGGTTTTCTGATGGGAGGTGCCTTCTTCTCTCAACCCCTGCATAGATAGGAGAGAAAAGCCATCCAGCAATTAAGAAGCAAGAGAAGAAATGAGGAAAGCCAGGGGGCATATTCAGGAACGGCGCCAGGGTTTTTGGCACCCTAGGCAGGGGTCCTTCCACGCTCCCGATCAGCGGCGGCAATTCTGCAGTGGGGAGGGGGTCCTTCCGCGCTCCCGGTCTTCGGGGCACTTCGGCGGTGGGTCCTGGAGCGAGTGAAGGACCCGCCGCAGAATTGCCGCCCAAGACCCGGAGCGCGGAAGGACCCCCCCGCTGCCGAATGCACCCCCCCCCCCAAATCCTGGCACCCTAGGCGACCACCTAGGTCACCTAAATAGAAGCGCCGGCCCTGGGCATATTAAATGGATGCTGAAGTGCTCTGAAGATGAAAAGCAGTAAGTGCCTGGTCCCCAGCCAGCCTACAGCTCCAGATTACAACCAGCTCAGTATTAACCTGCCTGAACAGGACATTGCCACTTGCTCAGATACTTGGGAAGTGTTGGAGGCCGCTCGAAAGAGGTGGACACTCGTATACCAGCAGCTGTTGCCAGATTTCGGGCCCTTCAATAGCATCTGTGGGGACATCATGACATCAGGTTTGCTACAAAGCTGCCGATCTATAAAACCGTGGTTAAACCACCTCTCTCAGTTGTTCAGCAGTGGAACCTGGGCACTGAAGAAGACTGAAGAGTGAGACTGATGTTTTTGATTCTTGTCAGGTATAACAGAGGAATAGAAGGTATATTAAGTAATCAGGACAAGAGCCGTGATGCTGGGTTTGGTTATGACTATCTTCAACTGCCTCCATCAGCCCTAGTTTGGTTTTGGTGGCTTGCGCACATTTTTAGGATGGAAGACCAACGGATTCCAAAGCCAGGGCTGCTGCTACACACCTGACAATCATGTGGTCACCAAAAGCTTCAATGGTACGGTAAGATCGCCAGTGATGGACATCAACTGAATATTTAGCCACACCTCTTAAGGACATCGATAGAGATGTCTCTTGGGGATCTGCCACGGTGCTGACAATGACGCCAACTTCAAGATCCTGCAGTTATTAATGACATGCTCATGAGGGGGACTAGCCAGCTAGGTCAAAGATCAGGTTACTGCGGTATAAGCACAGACCACAGCAACATGCCTCCTCCTTAGTGCCAATCGTCCCCTAACCTACCCCTTTCCAGGCTCCTTTTCCTCCCCTCCCCCAACTTCATCCCTACCAGCTTCTTGACTGGTCTTGTAAATGGCCAGTATTTGTTACCATAATGATACAATCCACTGACGGGACCGACCAGGGACATCGCTTCCCAAGCACTCTGAGCCAGTTCCATTTTCAAAACACTTCGCAAATGCTACAGTGTGTTTAAAAATTCTCCCCTTCCATAAGCGTCCTTGCTGCAGTACGTCACTAGGTAAGACATACATCAATGGGAAACAACACAAAAATCAACTGTCTGACCAAGATTTTCAAAAGTAACTAGAGACTCTAGGTGTCTCAATTCTGGGGTACCACTGGAGACACCTTAAACAGACCTGATTTTCCAAAGGCAGGTGTCTGAGTTTCAGAATATGTTGGACAAAAGCCCAGAAGGAGGCACTCCCAACTTCAGGACTTAAATGCTCCATCACTGATCATATCCCTGCTGAAGTCATGCATGATTCTCATGCAATAAGTCAGTCCCCTACAGGCAGTCACGCTGCTCTATTACAAGTGCCAGAGGCCTGTGGGGATCTGGGGACAGGAGAGGAGGAAAACTAGCCAAGTGGGAAAGGGCAAAAGTCAGTGGAAGATAAATGTCTGCTGTTAAGGGGGAATTACAAGCAGCCCATGGTATCATCAAATCCAGCCATTAGCAAGCAGTTGCCAGTGTATTCCTTCCAGCTTCTTCCCCAGAGTGTGTGTTTATGCCCATTGGGTCCAGATGTGCAACACACAATCTGCCAGCACATCCCCTGCGCTCACTGTTGAACTTGGCAAGCTGGGCTGTTTTGGCTTCCAATGCCAATGAGCACACTAGTGATAAAGGTGTATTTTGCTTGCCACACAGCCTCTCGCAAAGCATCACACTGGACAGCGGCAGGGCTCGGCTGCCAGCTGGATTCAGGAGGCACCAATGCAATTAGAGCCTCTCGAATATTAGAGGTTTATCGCCCTCATAATACCCGTCATTAAAACCATGCACATCGCAGAGCTGCCCTGTCAACCAAGCAAGTGCCAAATGGTCCAGTACGTTGACACTGATGCTGGGAGATGGCCCAGGTACGGGCTGCACACACACTCCTAGTCGTCACTCAGGCTTCCTGGAAAATGCAGAATTGGAGCTCAGACCACAGAATCCATCCCCTTCCCAAAGCAGGATCCGGCCTCACTTCTCTCCCCCAATCCTGTATCAGCCACTGATCAGAGACAAAAGGCAGGTACTGTGCAGAGCAAGGCAGAATTCTAGAACAGAGCAACTGTGTAGACCTGCAGCTACACACAACTGCATATGATGCTCAAACCAGGACACACTGGGGCCATATTCTGCCCTCGGTTACAACCCTCGGGTTTAGCGAGGCAACTGAGGGCAGAATCTGACCCACTGCTTTTACAAGAACAAGAAAGAAACATATAGCTGTGGTTAGTTTACGAGGCCTATATAGTGCCATACTACAGCTTGGACGCAGAGATGGGATCTATCACTATCACGGACTGATCTGTGTTCTGATGTCGCATGACCGACCCCTCTTGCAAATCGTCCCGTGGGCACTGGGCTGTACAGTGAGTGACATGCACCCATCACAAGTTTCATAGCGTTTATGGCCAGCAGGGCCCATTAGAACATCTGCTCTGACCTCCTGTATCTCTCAGGCCATTAAATTTCACCTCGTTACCCCTGCTCTGAGCCCAGTGACTTTAGACTAAACCTGGGTTAGTTTAATCCTTAGGAGACTCAACTGCTGGAACTGGTGGCAGTAGTACCTTCAACAGCCAGATGCCCGGGAGACACAAAGCACCAGGAATGCATTGGGGACCCGTCTCTCCAAAGCATGGGCCTCAAAGAATGGAAAAATCACCAGCCCATCCAGCAAAGAGGAACAGAAGACAAGCCAAGGGCGACATCACAGGGTGGTATCACCCCATGGCGGAAGTGGGGGAACAACTGACACTGAGGGAAAGCTTTGAAAGACTTTCCCACCATGCTCCATGTGTCAGTAACGAGAGCTTTCCTTCATCACCCCCATCCATTTGCCTCCACCCTGGCAGGAGCACCTGGTAGGGTGAGGCTTGGGCTGGCATAGTTTTCACAGCTTTCCACACCTTGGCATCTCTGTTGAACTCCAATGGAAGGGGAACAAACACAGCAGTCGCTTGGGTTTTGTGAGCACCTAACAAGGAGGAACTGGGTGGAGACCCACCACAGAAATAGCCGTGGGAGGACAAAAGACACTACCTGATTGAGCAGGATTCGGACAAAGCAAGAGGCTCCATATCCCATCGCAAGTCACTTGAGCCATCCAGCCCTCTCGTTCTCCAGTGCCACCCCTGTGCTGCAAACCTAAGCAGAGAGCCCCACATGACCTCCGGGAGATAGACCCCAGGGCCTCGACTCACCCGCTGATGATCTCCTTGTTCTCAGCTCGGATGAAGTGCTCTTTCTCAGGAGTCAGGATGCACAGGGAGAATTTCTGCCCCGTCCGGCTCTCCCCATCCACAACATCCGTGCACTGGTTCATGTTGATGGTGCCCTGGGGGAGGGTCGTGGGCTGGAACAGAAGGAGGCAGGTTTTAAAAGGAGGAGCAGAGGAGCCGAACGCTGCCTGGTAGACATCCCACCCCTACCCAGCAGCACAGAACCTGGCACTCTCCACACATCTATTCATTCACAAGCTCAGGAGTCCAGCTGACTGTGCCATCCGTAACTCTTCTCCAGGCTTCCCTATCCCACCGCCCTTCGCCCAAGGCAAAGCTTCACTTAAGCCACCCCTTGGTCTCTGCCAGTTCGCAGAGCAGGTCACGTCACGTACAATCCTAGCTCCCACTCTGGACAGGCAGCCCTTCCCCTCCGCACCCCACAGGAAGTGCTACCTCCAGCAAGGCAGATTCGACAACCACACAGGCCTGGTGGTGGGTGAACCTGCTAGAAGACCCAACTCTCTCCTTCACCTGGTGTTTACATCAATGCTCACCGCCCCAAAGATCCAAGAGGCACTCACACCGAGTTCCATTGGTTGTCCCAAATACCGTTCCATTTATTGCTCACACGACCCGCACCATGATATCTGACCTGCCACAGCTCCTCCCTCCCCCTCCCCCAATAACTCCACATACCCCCACACCCTGCCCCCACTACCTCATCCCAACACCTCTCCCATTCTGGCTGCCTCCAATCCTCCACCACCATTTTCTTTGGTGGAGGGACAGGCGCCCGTCTCCATGCACGCCTGTCCTGCTGGGGGACAAGCCAAGCAGGAAATTGGTGACTTGCTCTCAAGGGCAAGAAGCGTCACGAGCCTTGGTATCAAGGTATTCCTGCATGACTGTATCATTCGTAAGAGACATCAGGTCCTTGCTCCCCTGGATACTTCGCAGACTGATTGCTGTGTAGATACCCATTCACTGGGGGTTACAGAAGGCCTTCCCTGCAGCGCAGCCGGACCAGCTGGTAGGACAAACATTACATACCACACACCCCAGTAAAAACAGCCTAATGATACCAACTCCGAACATAAACTGCAGGAGGAAACCACAGCTGCAGGGGCTGACGTGCCCCCACGCTACAAAAATAGAAAACAAATGGCCGGCAAAATAACCATCTCACACACAAACGCAGACAGAGCAGAGTCCCGGCTCTGAGCAGATGCTTCTGCTTCTGACTTCCCGCAGCTCGGCCAGGCCGGCTCTGGGATCAGAATCCAGCCAACAACAGCGGTGATTTCAGGCAGCTGTCGCTAGCACGATTCCCGGACCCGCCCAGATGGGACCTTGTGGACCATGGTCTGAAGGCTACCCTGTAAAACAGTGTTATTTTAACTGAGGGCCACAACACGCCGAGCATTAACTACTCGAAGTGGAGGCTAGGGATGAGCGGGGAGAGGACTAGTCTATGGTCTACACTGTAGGCGCTGTAGAGTCAAGAGATCTGGTTCCTGGCCTTTAACACACAGTGTGGCCTTGCAGGGTACAGACAGCACCACTTGGGTGTTTCAACCTTGCTCCTGAACTGGGAGTCAGGCCTGCTAGAATCCGAGGCCAAGAATTGTCAGAAGGGATGAAAGATTTTGGGCGCTCAACTTAAATCCCCTTAAGAAGGGACGTCCTTTTCAGAGGGTGGGCGCTCAGCACGCTCTTCTCGAGCTAGGCACCCAAAAACCAAGGCACTAAAAATCACCACTGAAAAATCTTGGCCCAAAGCTTTAACAGGGCTCAAGCACACAGTTAACACACGGACTACACCACAGGGTAGCCACGCTCTAACTGCTGGGTGCTGTCATGTGTGAGCAAATCCCTCCACGGGGTAGTTAACACTGTACAGTGCAGATAGCGCTGTAGCATGGCTGTCAGCAAGCCAAGCTAGGCTCCAGCTATCCACAATGCCCCCCAGCTGATGCTCAAGGCACATGGGATAGGTCTACGCTGCAATTAAAAACCTGCGCCTGACCCGTGCCAGCTGACTCAGGCCCACCGGGCATGGGCTAAGGGGCTGTTTAATTTCAGTGTCAGTGCTTGGGCGAGAGAAGTGAAGGGATCTCTCCCCCACCAGGAAGGGCGATCTCATGTCATGCCCCACCTACATGGCCATGATTGCGCTCCTGGTCTTGCTCCATTTTGTGTTGTTTTTCTTACACAGACAGACAGGCTAACGTCACGCTGCTCCGGACCTGACCCTTGTCTGGGGGGGAGGGGAGGGTGGAGAAGGGGGAATTTGCTTTTTCATTTGGCTGGGCGGGCAGCCAGCCAAGCCTGAGCACACACTCCGTAGGACTTTCCCATTAAAGTTAATGAAACATCGAGTTTGCCGGCATCTGCGCCTGCCAGCCTCGAGGCCCCACATTAATCTGCCACGGCTGTCTAAGCAGGTGCCTGAGCCGCTCTTACCGCATGTGGGGAGAAGCAGGGGGATCGAAGGAATTCAGTTCCCTGCTGTCTGAGAGACACTGAAGATACAGTCGTCACCTAGGAAGATTATTAAAGAGACAGCGGCCTGTGTTGCAGGGTGGGGAGAGAGGGGAATTTCCACTGCCCTGGGCTTTCCAACACCTGCAAGGCCCTGCCATGGGAAGGCCAGGCAGATGCGGGAGCATTCAGGCGCTGTGGAACACGCAGGCCTTCTCCTCAGGCCGCAGAGAAACCTCTCCCGGGGAAATGATTTCTACGAGGGGTGGGAGAGAACACGACTCAGTCACCAGAGTGGGAGGCTGGGAGTTCAGCAGACCAAGAGTCTACGTCCACCTCTGCCACTGACATACTGTGCGGCCGTGGGCATCCGCTTGGGCCTCAGTTTCCCCTAAGTGTGAAACAGGAATAATGCATTTCAATCTTTAGGAAGTGCTTTGAGATCCAGGTGCTAGCAGTGCCCAGCGATGACTCAGGCTCAGTCGACACTACGAGCTAGGGGTGTGATTCCCAGGTTCGGGGTGTGATTCCCAGCACATATTCCTGCTACCTCTCATCAAGCTAGCGAGAGCACAAACAGCAGCGTAGCCATGGTAGCAGCAGCGCAGGGATAGCTTAACTGTGTCAAGTACATACCCACCCGTTTCAAGCAGGTTTCTACTCAGCGCAGTTAAGCCATGCCTCCACTGCCACTGCCCGTGCTATTGCAGCTACACCAGACCACAGTGCAGACGACGCAGCCTACGGGACAGGTGGTGCACATCTGAATTCCTCTCCTGATTTCAGCAGAGAAACGCGGAGGATCTGGCCCTGTTACATCACAGCTGACGTCTTCTTTGCCAACGTGCTGCAGGGCACAGGAGAAGGTGCTACTCTGTTCCCCTTTTTCAATTCCCGGAGCATATTCTCCCGCACAGCAGCGGCAGCCGCCCCCTCCAGGACCAGAGCCCAGGGAAAAAGTCTGTAGCGTCAGCACCCCTTAGTTACGCTCCCCAGAGACAGCGGGATCCTGCATGTCCTTAGGGGCAGGGGAGGATTTTTTGCATGCATGTTTTGTAACAGTCCTGATCCAGTGACGGGAGTGAAATCAATTCATCCTCAATCCACAGAGAGAGGGTTGGGTTTGAGACATAAAATATGCGCTACCTGGAGGGCATCGTAATCCACAGCGTGGCGCACTGCTGCCCCGTGACGCCCCTTGCTGCAGGACAGTTCAAGCCTCAGGATACACTTGCGGCAGCATGTAGCGTGCGGACGCGGCACGCCCAGCCAGCCTGGGTATAAATAGCAGTGTACTTGACTTGGATGAGCAAAGTGGCCTACATGCCTGAACCCCCAGGGTACATCCCCTACACGGCTCTCTACATGCCCAAGCCATGTCGCCCATGTCTACACAGCTATTTTAGCAGTGCAGCATCCCAGACAGAGCCTTTTCCTGCTGCATGTAGCCACACGTATAGTGCCTGAACTCTACACGCCGCCACAAGTATAAACATAGCTTAAGAGTCCAGCTCTGCCTTCTCCCTTTCATGTGGGCTGCAAAAGACCTAGCACCTCCCCCTCGAATCGGCAAACGCTGGCCTCAAAACAAGGGCATAAGGAAGTGGGCAACTGACCCTTTAAGGCAGCACCCAGCCTAGGGCGCTGGGGTTACTTGAAAAAGCCAGAGAGGATCCAAGCCGGGAAGGGGGAAGCAAAAGAACATGGAAGGGGATCAGACAAGCGGGAGAGGAAAAGAAGCCGAGAGAAAGTGAGACAGGGAGTGGGAAAGGTGTTGGCGCTCATTGAAGCTGACAGGTCCATCTGGAGCAGTCATTCCTTCTCATCCGATTAGAGTGTCACCTCGAGCGCGGGCCCCGTCTCTCCCATCCGTCACCGCCTCCAGCTGCTTCAACTGGCAGCAGCCCTCCCACACAGAGCCCTTCGAAACCCCACTTCCTCCGGGACCCAAAGCGGCAGAGGCTGGAGGCCTAATAGTCTCGGATCAGCTAACCTGTCTCGGCTGCCCATGAAAAGCCTGCCGTGACCCACGGAGTCCTCCCCCCGCCAGACACCGGGACCGCCGGCACATTGCAACAAGGAGTCCCCAAAACAGCTCTACAAATGGACTGATCTCAGCACCAGCCTCCATTTGGGCCAGCCTTCAACCCCTCCCTTGCGCCCCGTATCCCCCTCTCCCTGGCACTGCTTAAACCCTCGCCGTGAAAATAGCAAGGCGAGCGGAACAGAAGCCTACACGTTTCGAATACTATGAAGAGAAAGAGGACACAGAGGAAGCATCCAAGCCAGCTTCTCTGACACTTCCTCCTGCAGATGGCGAGGCTGGCAAGGAGAATTATTTTTGGCAACCATTGTAGAGTGCTTTGCCATGGAAACGAACACAGATGCCACTGAAGCATCTTCAAGAGCTGCTTATGCAGTTAAAAAAATAATAAGCGAGGAATCAAGGACTAGTGGTTAGCGCAAGGGGGTGGGAAATCAGGATTCCTGGGATCTGGTCCCAACTCTGCCATAGACTAACCATGACCTTGGGCAAGTTACTTAACCCCACTGTCCCTAAGTTTATGCAGCTATAAAATGTGGAAAATGTTTCCCTACCTCACAAAAACGCTGAGAGACTTAACAATATTTATTATGATAGAGCCTAAGG